CCTATTCCTAGTGTGGCTGACTTCTATTAGATATTAAATGTGATGTGAAGGTTCAGTTTAGAAGATGTTACCACGTGGATCTGATCCGACGATCAATACGTTGTTTGGACAGTATAAATAGTCTTCATTTGTGTAGATGGAGGGGGTTGGAGTTTGAAAATAAAACAAGTAAATGAAAAATACCATAACTCTTGTGAAAAGAAGATATTGAAAAAAATTCACATATCTTGTTCCTTACATATTTAGCCAACACCACAGTAAAGAGATCGAGATTCCAACACAAAACATCATTCGATCCTATCTATCCTTCCACATATTCCATAACAAAACAGGTACTCATTTAAAGAAAGTCGATCCGGTCCTTGTTGATAGTGCAATGGCTGCTCCAAGAAAATTGCCGGAGCTCGAACAATTGTGTCTCTTGCCGGACAGCAACTCCCACGCCCTTTCCAACCACGCTACCGCTCCTGTTCCAGTAGGAAAGTGCCGGATTATTGCTTGACGTGGCAAGAGTGGATCCGGCATCTGTTGACAACATTTTTTGGGGTCAACAGGTTTAGTATGATGATTGTATGAAATTCATCATATATCCATTTATCTTCTAGTACTAGTACTAGCAAACAATGAAATTTCAATAAAGTTAGCTAGATATTTTGCACATCACATTGTTAGTATTTTAAACTGAGAAGAAATAAGTAATTTTGATATTCTCGCATTGTGGCGAACAAATAAAAAGAATATCCCCATTATCTTTGATGGTACGAATCTATTAACACCTCCTATGTCAACTACAGCATTGGAGGCTTCATTTAGTGCATATGGTAGCATTCTGTAAGATGAAAGAAGCCAGCTAAAAAAAGCGATAAATAATTTGATCTACTCAAATGGTAGTGAGCAAATGAAAAATAATATTCGATAATCAAGGTTGGATCTTCAAATGATTGAATTCTTGTAATTGCCTCTTAATTCTCTCAAAAAATCGATGAATTGACCTCTCTTTTATTGTAAAAATGTAAGAAAATTAATGTATGACGCTGCTATGTAAGGGAGTCGGATTTTAGGTCAAAATTAATTGGTTTCCAAAAGGTAGTTGACATAAAATAGAAAACTACCAAGAAGGTCCCAGATTTACTCTTCGTACGCGTGCCAGCCACTTAGCCGCATGCGCACCGTGGATCCATGCAGCTCACCTCTCGAGTTTGATTGAACCTGGGCTCGCACGCCACATCTCAGCTTTTGAGGTTTTGCAAGTTGGTTTCCAAAAATTGATCCTTTGGTCAATTAAGCCCCTCAGTCTTCAATTCATGTCCAATCGACCCCAAATAATATTCAATCATCGTCTTGTAGTGCAAATCAACTATTAAAAAGTTGCAATTTAGTCATCGAACTTTGAAATTTTACCTTTTTGCCCATTTTCGCTCATTTCTTTCAGTTTTTCTTTCAATTATTGAGTTTTAACTAACAAGCGGAATACACAAGAGATTATGTCATAATTTATCAAAAGAACTCCTGAGTGTCTATGTCTATAGGCCTGATAAGTGTATAAATTACGCTTATCAATACGGATCTACTAATGCCTCTGGTGTCAATTGTCGCATCAAAGGCTTTGTTTCAATGCATGCGGTACGGTTCCCTACGACGAAAGAAGGAAGTCGAAATAAGATATATTTAAGACTCTAATGTTTTTCAAAGACTCACAAAATGCAAACTGAAAGAAAACCAATACAATTACTGACGATTTTCATCAATTA